TCCCCCCCCCACCCTCCCCTCTAGAACCCTCAGTCTGTTTTTCAGAGTCCATCGTCTCTAATGGTTCGTCTCCCCCTCCAACTTACCCCCCTTCATTCTTCCCCTCCTGCTATCTTCTTCTTCTTCTTCTTCTTCTTTTCTTTATCATTTTATCTTTTTAAGGAACGTTAAGAATCTTGACATTGGGCTCTTTGGAAGAGAGAGAGCCCTAGGGCTACCAAAACTACAGTGGGAAAAACTGCCAGGGAAGTTGTGCCAGGAGCATATTTTTATTCTGCCTTCCCCAGAACATGAGAGACATGCTCTGTCCACAGAACTGTGCTGGTTTTATTACGAAGCACAACAAAATCAGCGAGCAAGAACTACCCAGAAATGAATCACGGAGCCCTCCTCGGAGTGGGGGTGTGTGTTCCTCTATCTAGGGTCGGTAGAGGTCCTAGAAAGATCAACAGTTGTTCAAGGGCTATGCGATTTAAAGCATGATCTTATCCACAAAGAATTGCTTTTTAGTTCTTACTGCACAGAAAGCCAAGCTTGGCACTTCAGAGAAATGCAAGAACAGTCAGTACAGAGGGGCTGGGATTTGAGAGACCAGAGAACGAACATGAAGTCTAGTTTTTTCAAGTTAGAAATTAATTTCTTTACTGTTGTTACTGTAAAAAAAATGATTTTTTGGGAGGGGAAATATTTTTCTAGTCTTCAGAAGCATAAAAAGAAAGCCTAATTGAAAGAAACTAGGGGTCAATTTATCCTATTTATTTCTATCACCGCACTATTCTTAGGGAACCAGATCTAGGTTTTGAATGTAATACTTCATTTGCAGATTACTGAAGTGATGCTCTCCTTATGTCACGCTGTTTGCACGAATCACCTGGTGTCCCTGTTGTTTTGCGGCTGACTTTTGGAAACATGCAACACAAGTGTGCAGAGTGGGTTTGGCAAAGAATTCGTGCCCATCACCCATACAGACGTGGACAAGCGGGAGGGCAGCATTGGCTTACTTGGTAGTTCACGCCTCTGGATTGTGGTTAGTTTTCCACGAGTGTTATCCGCCGGAGCTCCTACTGTTTTTCTGGAAGATAAATTGTTCAAGATTTCAACTTGAGGGCGCCGGGTGGCTCAGTCGGTTAAGTGTCTGCCTTTGGTTCAGGTCATGATCCTACAGTCCTGGGATGGAGTCCTGAGTCCGGCTCCCTGCTCAGCAGGGAGCTTGCTTCTCCCTGCGTTCCTCCCACGTTTTGTTCTCTCTCTGTCTCTTTCTCAAATAATAAAATAAAATCTTGAAAAAAAAAAGATTTCAACTTGAAAATCAGGGTGCACCTCAAGGGCGTAGTTGAACAGCCCCATGGTTTTGATGCATTTCTTCGTGTTGGTGGACTGTAGGTTCTGTGACATGTCAGTTAAATAAATACCGGTCATTTGCTGCTAACGGAGAAGTTTATAAGTGTTTTGTACCAATGATATTTTAAAAATGTATTGAAAGTTGGTTTGAACCTACATGCAAGTACTCCTCTTTCCAGCCAAGCATTATTTACATGGTTATCACCATAAATATTTGGCCCAGGGCTTCCGTGCCCATTTTTGAACTGAGAATCCATTCAACCTGCTTTCCAGAAGAAGTGGTCTTCATTTTTATGTTGGTGACTTCACTGCATGTGGTTTTTCTGAGGCAGGAGAAAGTTGGTTTTTTTCTCAAAAGTGCGGAGCAACAAGTGACAATATCTGGATTTCAGAAGCGTTCTGGAACGGTATTAGATTATACTACGGATACCGCAGTGAGACAGTGCCACGTGGAAATATCTGTGGCGGTGATTCATGGCGTGCGTGGGCTTTCTTGAAAACATGACTGTGAGCTCCAAAGGAACGATGGAAACAAATGGCGTGGAAATCGCCCACAGCCTACTTTAGTGTTAGAAGGGAAAGGGGTTGCTTTGAGAACACGCCGTGCGCAGTCGGTCGGAGTAACTGTGTGGTCTTGCCGTTGCTCCTCCTTATTTCTAGGTACAGAGGCAAGACGTACCGGGCTGTGGCCAAGATTGTACGGACCTCGGACCAGGTAGCAGACTTCTGCCGGCGGGTCTGTGCCAAGCTGGAGTGCTGCCCAAATTTGTTCAGTCCCGTGCTGGTTTCGGAGAACTGCCCAGAGAACTGCTCCATTCACACCAAAACCAAGTACAGTAAGTTCAAAGAATAAGAAGACTGTTGGGCTGGGGGCCTAAACGGTGAGGTAAGCTTAGCTGGTGGGTTTCTAAACAACAAAACAAAAACCTTTGAGTAATTTTTCATGGGAACTGCTGTGAAAGAATTCTTTAAGATCTGCTGTGGCCGATACCTCACGGGTCTCCAGCCCAGCGGAGGGACAGGATGACAAAGAAGAGATGGGAAGGGCTATGCTGTGAGTTTCAGGGCATTGGCTGAATTTGGAAACTTAGCTGGCGGAAAGGAGAGCTGGATAAAGCTGGTTCTTGGTAACGGTTGGTAACCAGCATTGCTTTCTGGGTCCTTAGGCTGAGGAGGTATAGAGCCTGTCTTCGCCCCTCTGGGCTGGGGTGAGCTCCTTGCCATAGGCTGCTTCGCCCGTCTATACCGCCTCCTCGGAGCTCCCTGGACGGGGGGGTGTTTGGAGGGTGCAGAAGCAGCCCGCACTGTCCGTGCTCCCATGGGGTCAGCTGTCCCCCCCCTGCCCTGCCTTTGCTCTGACCGCTTCCCGGCAGGATTTTCGAGCTGTCTACCCCACACATGTGGTGCTCGGCCTTCTCTGGTGGCCGCTCCCAGCTCCTGTCCTCCCTCCTTTCTTAGCTCCAACCTTTGTCCGCATGCACCGTAGCCACTCCCAGACACCTCCACCCCGGTTATGCCGAGCTCTGACAACTCCCTCTGATCCCCGCTTCCGCTCTCGCCACCTCTCCCTTCGGTTATCTCTGACCCGGGCGTGACTGCGCCCCCGTCACGGTGGCCTGGAGGTTTGCTCTCCCAGCCTGCTTGCTGGCTGCTGGCGTGGCGACAGGACTCGGGAGTGCAGTCCGCGTGCTGGGAGCCCCGGCCGGTTGAGACTGATCAACCCGGGTGTCAGAAGCAGGAATCGGAACGGACTTGAACCACCGTTCCGAGTGTCAATCTCCTTGTACTTTTCTCTGTATGGATGCATGGATATGCTAAAAACTCTCTTCCATGCCGTTCCCGCTGAGTCAGCGCCCTTCTGTCCGGTTGGGCCGCCTGGCATTCTGCACCCACGCTCACGCATGGAGAGCCACTGGTGTGTTGGCAGGATGTGCTGACGTCACAGTCTTCTCCAGACAGTGGTGACATCACTGACCTTTCTGGAGAACTTGGTTCCCCCTCACATATCACCTTTGGTCAGAGGAGAGACTCCCTGGAGCAGGCTGCTCAGTAACAGATGCTCCTGAATCACAAAGGACTTGACTGAGAGCTAGACTCACCCTTGAATGTTTGCCTTAAAAACGGGAAGAGGTGGGTTACCACAGCTTGAATTAAACACGACCGAAATGACTTAGAGATTTCTCTGAGTCTCGTGTGATAAAACGTCAAAATCCTAAGATCCCTGGGTCAACGTATAGTAAATATTGCTGCAGACTGAACTGATGCTCCAGGGGGAAATGACAAAACCACACTGGGGAGGAATTGAGAGCACCAAGGCCAGCAGTCACCCCAGTGGAACCCCAAGACTCTGAAAGTGTGCTGCACCTTTGTTGTATTCGGTAAAACTGCTCTGATTTCTAGCGTCTGGCTTCTAGGAAACATGACATGCGCTGTGTTTTCTTAGCCCTCAGATTGATTTCTTGGGTGTTTGGGATGATGTGATAGTTATTCTAAGCTGTGTTTGAAGGACAAGGCGAGTGCAGGGTCCCCCTACTCCTCCGCCATCTTAACTCCCCTCCTGGCTTCTCAAAAACCGAACTGCACCAGACTTATCTTGCCCACACGGGGCCCCGGGGTGTGAACAAATGCTTATCCACCTGTAACTGATACGTAGGGACCACCGTGAAGCATCGAGTGTCCTGCTCTGCTCGGTCCCACTGGGCTCATTTTGCGTGTGGGGCCATCGAACGCCAGGGCCGGATATCTTTCCCATGGGAATACAGCAGCGTAGGCGTGCATGGGGGCCACGCTCCACCACAGATCACGTGCTCCACCGAAGCCTAGCAGCTGTGTGTTTGGGTATTTTTCTTGGCTCCTTCTAACCGTAGATAAAGGTTCCCTTTCTGCACGTGGTTCTGTATGGAATAATGGGGGTTTCGTTGTGGGATGGTCGAGACTTTGGGTAATGAGTCTCGATCAGGATCATAATTGAAAACTGGATCCTTAGCAGTGGCTTTGATTAGTTGAGTATACATCTAATTTATAAAATACAGCAGTCGTTACTGGATGTTGGTAAGTCCCTAACGGGTGCTCTGCGTGTTAATAGAGACCTCTCTCGAGGTGCTGGCAGGGTTGATTTCTCCTGAGGCCTCTCTTTGGGCTGCAGATGGCCATCCGCTCTGTCCTCACATGGCTGTCCCTCTGTGCTCGCCTTCCTGCTGTCTGTCCCTCTTCCTGTAAACAGGCTGGTCCTGTAGGATGAAGGCCCCATGCTTTGAACCTCATTTACCCTTAATTACCTCCTTAAAGGCCCCATCTGCAAATACAGTGCCATGTGGGGTGAGCGCTTTTACATTTGAATTTTGAAGACGTGTAGTTCTGTCCCTAACACCTTCTAACCGTGAGGGCACGGGAGAAATGTTCCCAATGAAAGAATGATCTTTCTCTCTTCTCTTTTCTTTTCTTCTCTTCCCCACCCCCCCCGGTCTTCCTCTGGTCTCTCTACTCTCTCAGTGTCGATGTACTTCGTGTATGTGACCTTTAAAAGACGTTCTTGATTCTCTCTCTCCCTGCAGCCTATTACTATGGAAAGAGAAAGAAGATTGTGAAGCCCCCGATCGGGGAAGCCAGCACTGAGAGCGGACACCCGAAGCCAGCCAGACGTAGGAAACGGCGGAAGTCCATCTTTGTGCAGAAGAAGCGGAGGTCTTCTGCCGTGGACTTGGCCGCAGGCTCGGGGGAGGTATGTCCCACTCAGAGCACCTTCCTGCCCGCGCCCAGGATGCGCGGCTGCTCTCCGCCAAGGCCGCAGCCGACGTGTGATGCCAAGTGCTTGGAAACCCCAGGCACCAGGAGCCCTGCGGATTCAGCCCACCCGGCCATGCGAGCGGGGAGAGGGTGGCGACGGGGACCGTGGTGGTGACCGCAGGATGGGCCTTGGGCCACCGCCCCCCGGAGGTTTGCACAGGGCCAACTGAAGTCAGTGCCTTCCCTTCTCCCCAGGAGAGCGAGGATGCGGATGCCATGGATGAGGATACTGGGAGTGAGGAAACCAGCTCCGAGCTCCGCGATGACCAGACAGACACCTCTTCGGCCGAGGTCCCCTCTGCGCGGCCCCGGAGGGCCGTCACCCTGAGGAGCAGCTCCGAGCCTGAGCGCCGGCCACCCGTGGAGAGGCCGCGGCGGGGCCGGAGGGCGCAGGCCGCCTCGTGTGCCGAGGGGGCAGAGCAGGGCGCGGCCACCGGCCAGGACCCAGCGGGGGTAAGGCCCGCGGGGGCCCCCGGCTGGGCTGTGTGGGGCCAGGGCTGTGGGCAGGGTGTTGAAGAAGGAAGCCAGTACGGTGCAGGGCCTTGACTTGGGGCTCCGTGTTTAAAATGGCAGAGTAGCGGCAGCTCCAGCCTGGTGCCGAGTCTGGGGAGAAGGCCTGGTGGTTCCCATCTCAGATGGGGTCCGAGGGGCGTGAGAGCTTTTCTCTGGAAGGTTTTCCAGCCGCAGAGGATTCTTGTTAGGAGAACAGACAGAATAGGTCCTCGGGGTGCCATTGGACCCTAGGCTTCCCCTTCGCGGGAGACGGCTATAATGCTATGAAACGCTGAGTCAGCGTACCAGGTCTTCCCCCAAACCCCCAGACCGTAGGTGGTCAGCTGGGAGGTCATGGGCACCATCATCACCAGGGTAGAGGGGAAGAACTGGCTGCCTCCTGTGCATTCACACGCCCCGTACCCTCTCTCTGCAGTCAGAGATGCATCCTCACTAAGCAGGCCCAAGATTTCCTGAACTGGGTTTTCAGCAACTGCTCTCACAGCGCCTTTTCTTTCAGCCTCTAAGGGCGCACAAGTCATTGGAGGCAAAATCATAACCCAGCCGAGCTGCTAAAGAAAGTCCCTCGAGTCCCGAAGTCTCGGTGGCTTGTCCGGGTGCCCAGGGAGAGGCCAGAGGGAGGAGGAAAGTCTGGCTCAGGTCCAAGGGGTTTACCGAGTGTCCTGCCAACCCTGCAGGGATCGAATGACCTCCTGCCTCCCTTCTCCTGTCAGGACCCGAAGCAGGAGGAAGAGGAGAGGCTCGTTCTGGAGAGCAACCCATTGGAGTGGACGGTGACCGATGTGGTGAGATTCATCAAGCTGACGGACTGTGCCCCCCTGGCCAAGATATTTCAGGAACAGGTGCGCTGGTCCTTCTGCTGTGTGTTGTATTTTCTTTTGATCTTCTGGTTTAGCTGCTTTCTGTGACGTGGCTCTGGCAGGGGAACGGGGTACTTCCTCATGACTGTGGGGGGCTGGGGGACGGAAGCCTGGCTCACACATGGTCTCCGCTGACACCTCCGTGGGGGGCTCTTTGCTGTCCAGCAGAGACGCAAGTCCCAGCTCGCTCTCCCTTGTCAGGGGCTGGGAGCCTGGGGCCATCTGGCCTTTGTCGCCGTCTGGGGAGGGGGTTTCTGTCTCCCTAGACTACCCTTTTCCCGGTCCTTCATCTAGAAAGAGCAGGCTTCCCTTGGGTCTCTTTTCACCCATGCCCGGGGACAGTATTGGGTGGCCAGCTTCTGTGGCAGTACGTCTTGGGCGTGGGAGGCCCACAGACCCCCAGGCGCTCAGCACCGTGCTGTCTTGGGCCCCCAGGCCCCTGCTGGTCTGCCTTCTCTTCTCCCCACCTTAGGTTTGTTTGGTTCATTAGTTCTATTCAGCGGGAGAAACAGGGAAGGGGTGTGTCCTTATCTTCCCAGAGGCGGAAGCCCTCCATCTGCTGTGTTTCTCTCAGTGCCCCTCTCCTCACTGCTTTCGTATTTCGCTCCTTCCTTTGTAACAACGTTAAAAACCTGCGGTATGTTGGGTTCCGTGCTAGTGATGGGTAAATGCAAAATAGTCAACATAATCTATACTTTAAAGGAATTTTGATTCTATAGATAAGACAGTGAGAATTGGCTAAAGCGTAAGACATGCTTTGAGCCCGAAGAAAGGAGGAATTTTTTTACATTGCCCCTTAAATTAATGTGGAAAGAAATCGCCCGTCTGGACCCACGCCACCTTGAAGGCAGCTCCCTGGCCTCCCATGGCAGGTCCAGTTGAAGCCTGTGACCTGTTCTCCCGTGTTCGCGTGAAGGGTTGCTATTTCTCACATTGTCTCACAAGCGTGAATGTGTCTTCCAGGACCTCGTACTTAAGAAAGGTACTGTTTACCGTGTGATCAGTTAAAGATGTGTCTGTCAGGTCTTTTTTTAGATTATACAAACTGATACTCTAGAGAGAGGATAGTAACTCAGGCATTCAATTAGGAAGGGAAAAAGAAAGGCCTCTGATACCCCTGCACCCAGTGAGTCCCCCAGATCTTCTTCCAGGCCCATGTGTGAAAAGCAAATTAAGGTGGTTCCCAGCTCATCCCAGGAGAGGGTGGCTCTTAGCATTCATAGGTCCCATCTGGTCGGCCCCCAGAGCCTCCAGGAGACCCCGACTCTGTGCACATGAAGGGGGAATGGCGGCCACGGGGGTTTGCCGTTACCAGCAGCCCCTCTCTGAGTGACACAGAAAAGCAGACAAATAGGAAAAAGCTGCATCAGACGTAAAGAACTTAGTAGTGAGCCTGTCCCTTCGTTTAAAACACACGGACAGGGAGAGAATTGTAAGAACCATGAAGGCTTGTGTGTTTTGGGGCATCTCCATCTTGAAAACACAAATAAAGCAGCTTGAACTCCTGCTAAAAGCATTGGCTAGGGTAGCATTTTCCGAGGCAGGCATTTATCAGTAGTGGCCCTGAGACGATGCTGAGTGCCAATGACCCGGAGCTCAACGCGTGGGTCTGTGTGCTCGTGTGTCCATTCTGCGCGCACTGACGGAGCGTCCACTCATGGGCCTTAACGGTATTCAAAAGGCAGATGTGGTAGGCAGCGTTCTAAGTCTCAAGTTGAGTTTTTGTTTCATTTCGTTTTTAGACTCAAAGGCGCACTTTTGGCTGGAAGTGGTTTTCAGGCTGTGGCTGAATAGGGCACAGTGCTTTCCTGCCCCGACTCCGGGTTGGCGGTACGGAGACAGGTGAACAGCCCCGCGTGCAATTGCTTTCACGGGCTTCTTCTTTTTTTTTTTTTTTTTTTAAAGATTTTATTTATTTATCTGAGAGAGAGAATGAGAGATAGCACGAGAGGGAAGAGGGTCAGAGGGAGAAACAGACTCCCCGCTGAGCAGGGAGCCCGACGCGGGACTCGATCCCGGGACTCCAGGATCATGACCCGAGCCGAAGGCAGTTGCTTAACCGACTGAGCCCCCCAGGCGCCCTTTCACAGGCTTCTGATGTGAGGCAAGAACGTGAAAACTAAGCTGACCTGGGAAAAAGGCTAAAATGCTACGCATGCTGAGTCATCCTTACTTGCACTTCTAAGCCCAGCTTCTTAGGGTGTGTCAGAAAGTTCTGAGCCTTCCCAGGCCAAGGTGTCCAAGACACAAAGCGTGCCTGGCACGTTCCCACTTCCAGAATCAGGCGGCAGGCAGGGTCCTGTCTCTCACCTTCTCCTCTCACGCTGGTTAAAAACTTGGTCCTACTATGTACCTATTTATTTCTCTTAAGAGACAGAAAAATAGGTAAACTGTAATTGTATTCCTCTTTCATTGCCAATTTCACAGGAGGCCTTTCCCCGGCCGCAATAAGAGGCTGTTGCCTGCTTTGCTGTCCGAAGCGCTTGGCGCTTGAGTCCTTTTCTGTTCAATCAGGGCCCGTAATTACTAATTTTTGCTAATTTGTTCAGTCATCTTTGAGCCCAAGTGCCCCACGGTCCTGATTTGCGGAGGCCTCCGGTGGGTCCGTCCACCCACGGCGTGAGCTTTTCGATGACCCGCAGCAAGGGCGGGGGTGGCTCTGTTCACGAGTGTGCGGGAAACTCCGGTGCGTGGAACAGTAATAGCTCTGTGCACACCTCACGGAGGTGTAAATTCAGGGCTGTCACAATCACCAGCAGCATTTACAGAAAGTATAAACTTCCCATTACCGGAAGGCATGCCTTTAATTCTGAAATGTTATGGCAACAGCTTAAAACATTTATACTCTGTAATTTCCTACTGAGAACGTGTACATTATACAGTAAAACTCCACACATCCTCTAACTAAGAAAAACACGAAACTCTTAAATATAATTTGGCCTTAAATAGAATGTGGCCCTTGGTCCTTGCGGTGCCGTGCCTGTTAGTGTGCGGCCCGGTTTTGCTGCCCCCTCGCTGCTGGCTGAGCCCAGAGAAAGGCCTTTCTGTCTCCCTGCACACTGGAGTCTGTGTAGACAGACTCATTCTCCCGGGTGTTTCTCCCCAGCTCCGCTAGTCTGCACCGCACCAGGGCTCCGTGCGGCCCCAGAGACCACGAGACCATGTGCACCAGCCCGTAGTTGGACAGGTTCAAGGACGTGGACACGTCCATCCCTTCCAGCTTGCCCGCACTTGAAGGTCGCACCACGGAGCACGGAGTCTCCTCCCCTCAACTGTGGCCTCAAAACCCAGACGTCTTTACTGTCGGGCGCAGCCCCCTCGCTGCTGGCTGAGCAGAGGGACGGAGGGCCTGGGAAACGCTCTCCCGTTGGGGGGAGGGGAGAGGGGGCTGTGATCGGATAAAGGTCTAGAGGCCCTTTAGAGGTCCTGACCATCATTCTTGTTTGGTTTCATCTGCTCCGAGCTCTCCATGCAGCTTTCCCTCCGCCGCTCAGGGCCCGGGAGGCTGCCTGCCAGGGCCGGAAACTGCTGTACCGCCCCCGGTTCTGAATGCTTCCAGGCGCCTCGGAGCAGCGGGCTTATAAACAGTGGGCAACAGCCGTAGGAGCGGGCGGTGGTCTAGTCCAAGCAGGGGAGTTGGGGAAGAGATCGCACGGCAGCAGGCAGACCGGCTTCTGGGGAAGGGGACGGGAGTGGCCGCGGGCTCCGGGGTGTGTGCGGCTACGCGAGAGCACCTGCCGTGGCCTGTGCAGAGTGGTGAGCGCCGTGGTTCGGGCTGCGCGGTTGCAGGGATGCCCATGGGAGCAGGGCTGTGGGAGGCATGGCGGATGGTAAAGGATAGTAGAGTTTGCCACTGGTCAGAAGTGCGTATTTTCCCCAAAGTTGTCCCAGGAAAGAGACGCAAGTTCTCTGTCCAGTTTTGTAAAATAATTTGTGGCTTCGCCCAGGATGAACTCTCGGGCTATACAGGAAAGAGTCCGGGGCCCTTCAAGCTCTGTAAACCCCGCATTCACTCCCGGGGCCTGCCCCACAGATTCTGCGTTCTGTTGGCAGAAGCCCCTCGAGGTTTAGGAGTAAACAAAGCGAGGGGCTGTCTTGAGGTTTCTATCTGGGGATCGGAGACCAGAGTTCTCCCTCACCACTAGATGTGAGTTTTTATTTTGAGGCTAGTTGTAGCTGAGTAGAGTCGACCCTCCTTTTCCATACTTCTTCCCATGTGAGGTGTCCATGAAAGAGTGGGGAATCTTCGGGAGCTAGGGACAGGCTGGTGGAGGCACTTCCAAAAACCCTCAGAGCGTGCACCCCAGCTCACATCTCCCTGGATGGGAGCCCGATGGGCCCATCCGTCGCATCTGTGCTGTAGACCGAAGCTGCTGTCCCCAACGGTGATGGAGTCATGGGGTCAGGAGCGTGGAGCCCCCGTGAATGGATTGGTGCCCTTGTAGGAGAGACCACAGACAGCTCCCTGGCCCCCTCCCCCGTGTGAGGACACAGTGAAGCAGGGCCTCTCCGGTCACCTCCATCTGCCGGCAACTCGATCTTGGACTTCCCAGCTTTCCAGAGCCGTGAGACCCAAGCGCCTGTTGTTCATCAGGCCCCCAGCCCGCCGTGTCTGTTACCGCGGCCTGGGGGACTCAGGTGGCCCAAGAGTCCCCTCTTCTTTCGCTTCTGGTTCCGTCCACTTGCCCGATTCTCTCGCTTTGCCTTTACCATCTGTTGACTTTTAGGTTCACCCAGACCAGGTTTTCCCATTTAGTCATTCAACAGAAGTTTAATGAGCCCCTATTCTGTGGCAGGTATTTTTCTAGATGCTGAGGCTAGCCGGGGGAAACAAGCTAGAAAAAAGTCCCTTGCCCTTATTGCTATGCCTTCTCAAAAGTGAGTTAAAACGTGAGGCCGTCCCTGACCCCACCCTCCCCCGCCCCGCAGCCGGGTGTGTCCTGGGGCTCAGCATCCAGCTCTGTCTGCTAAGCTGTGCGGATTTGGGCCACCTGCATACGTGTGTCTGCTCCTCAGCCGGAGAATACGGGAGCCATGTCTCACTAATCTTGTATCTCCAGTAGCTACTTTGGGGTCCGACATACGAATAATTTAACAAATATTTTGCAAATAAATGAAAAACAGCTTTAAAGACTTGGCACCTCCTCAGAAACTAAGATTTGATTTACCAAGGGAATCCCCTTCTCCTCCTTCTTGGACTGTGAGGCGTTGGAAAAATGGAGAAACCTAAAAGCATTTCAGAAAGAATGAGTGAGAGATACCAGCTTGCATCTGAGATGGAGATGCGCTAACATGTTCTTTTGGAGAAATGGTTTGTGCATCCCGAAGAGGGCCCATGAGACCTGTACATACATGGCATACTGATAAGATGAACACCTGTGAAAGCCACCGTCCAAGGAAGAATCTAGGACATTTCAGCACGGCCATGTCTACTGTCCTGTCACGCTCCACTTCATTTCTACCGGCTGTAAATACTGTTCTGAATTTTGTGTTGTTGTGTTCTTGTTTGATTTACTCTCACCTACTTTTTCGAGGTGATGCCAAAGGGTTTCCCAAAGTAGTTTCCCAACATACATTTCTTCTCGTGCTGTAGGGGGTTCCCGTTACCATATACTTCCGTGCCAACACCTAGCGTTGTGTGATTTCTCCACTTCTGTGGACGTGAAATTGTATCGTGGGCCTCATCTGCACTCCCCTGATAAAGTCGACATCTTTTCCTAAATTGTTCATCATTTTTGTTTCACTTGTGAAATATCTACTCGTGCCTCTTGCCTAATATTCTTTTTATATAAGTCTTTTCATTGTTGATCTGTGTAGTGCCTTTTATATTCTGGGTTATCACTGCCATCCTTTGTCCATTCTACATGGAGCATTCGGTTTGTGGTTGGGGAGCCACTCTGTGGCACCCAGTACTGGATCCCGGGGGTAGTAGCACCCCAGTTCTGGGTGACCTTATATCTTAACAGGCTCAGCTTTGCTACCCCCTAATAAATGTTCCCCCCTTCAGTCCCTCATGGCTTCCCCACCCTGCTTCCTAATTCATTCCAGTACGTTGTGGCCAGTATCAGGTTGCAGATGAACACATGCTATAATGTGACTTCTCTCCCTAACGACCTTTAGCGACTTTCTGGTCACACACCCCAGAAGCTCGTTTCCTAACTGCTGTCTGGGCCCGTCTCCGCTTTCTCTTCAGTGTCTCTGCGCTCTCCTTGAATACGTGCCCTCATGAACTACTTGTCATCCATGGGTCCATCCTTCCCTTGGTGATTCCCCTCTGTCCCTTAGGTCTGAGTTGGGGCATCACCTGATCTCTGAAGCATTCCTTGACTCCTGTAAGACTGGCTGTGTTCCCGTCCCTTTGAGCCAGTAGCTCTGTGTTCACACTTTATTCTCTCTGTGTTGTGGTGGTCTCTTCCTCATAATGGCCTCCCTTGACGTTCGTCATCTCCTGGGAAGGAGTCTCTTTTGTTCAGTGCAGTAGCCACAGAGGTCATCAGAGCACCTGCCTCTCAGTAGGCGCTCAATAAACACTTGGTTCTTGAGTAAAGAAATGAGTGACATCCTCCACTTAAATGTGGTGCATGCATATGGCGGCCACCTTCACTGAAATGGCCTGTAGAGAGTTACAGAAGCATTTTGGGGGGCTGGCTTTCAAGTGTAATTGAATCTATATGTCCAAGGATGGCCATCATGACCTAGTATGGATGTTTAGAGCTGCAGTTTTCCCTCCAAGGTTTAATATCAGAAAACCATGTTTCTAGGAGCGCCTGGGTGGTTCAGTCGGTTAAGCATCTGCCTTCGGCTCAGGTCATGAACTCAGGGTCCTGGGATCGAGCCCCACGTCGGGCTCCCTGCTCAGCAGGGAGGCTGCTCGTCTCCCTCTCTCTCTGCCCCCCTCCCCCCAGCCTCTCTCTCTTTCTCTCTAAAATAAATAAATGATTCTTTAAAAAAAAAAAAAAAGGAAGAAAGCAAGCCATGGTTCTAGTTCCAATATGGTCTTCAACTAAATGATCTTAGATAGATCAACTAGCTTTTCTGGCATTAATTTCCGTCTCAAAAACGTGTCCTATATCCTAAAATAAGTTTCTGTTCTGCTCTTCATTGAACATAGTGGTTAAGCCACCTGCACATGGTTTTATAACGTCGTCCTGTTTCCTACTTAACAATGTATTTTTCTCAGGCGCATGATACTCACAAGACTTTGTATCCCTAGACCTTTCCCCCTCTGTCAAGTTTTGATATAATGTAGGTGGATTTGCCTCTGAAAGCGGAGTCGGCTCCCAGGTCCCAGGTCAGGGGGTACCATTATCTGGTTCATGACCTTGAGCAGAACACTGTTTCTCAGCACTTCCAGTTTGCCCTTTACTACAGCCAGCCTTAGAGGTGGCGTCTGAAGAGCAAGTAAAGTAACGTGTAAAAGCACAATAGAAAAAGTAAAGAAAAAAAACATCAAAAATTCATTGACAGCTTCGTTAGTTTATCTGCTACTTTCGGCGTGTATTCAAGACTGATCCGTTTACTCTGGGGTTTGATAAGGTCCAGTTTGAGTCTTGGGTGGGATGTGGCCTGGACTTGCACACACCACAGCTGTGCTCACGTAATTGAGACAACTGCGCTTGCATTGGTACCTCTAAGGTTGATGCTTAATTTTTATTGCTGCTGTACTTATTAGGGATTATGAGCACATCGAGGTGCCTTTTGAAACTGATCATACACTACATTACTCTTATTCCTACCAGTAGTCCTCCCAAGGCTAACCTTTATGCCCATTTTGGGTTGTTTTTTGTTTGTATGCTTTTGGAATTTTTAAGACAGCTAAGTAAACCATTATCCGAAGAAAATAGCTTCCTATGTGTAACTCAGGATGCATGATGTCGGAGGTGCCCGTGTGCAGCGGTAGGACTAGTAAGTCTCCGTGGCTTACGGCAGCCCTGGGCTCGCCACTTCTCCAAATGGCAGAAATTCTAGTTTGCCGGGTGTGGTTTGTGCTCTCCTTGTACCACTGGTCTTTATTGTTACCTTCTCTTACTTCCTATGGAATGTGAAGACTGTCTTGGTGGATAGGAGGAAGGGATTGCACTTACAACCCAATCATGCAATATCTACATAAATAAACCCAGTTTATTATAGGAAGCAAGCTGGTGAAGAGGCAGAGATGTCCAGTGTCGGGGGATCTGAAAGCCTTGGGGTGGGCCTTGTCCCTGCCTTCTGCAGTGAATGCAGCTTAACAGTGTAATGACTCTGTCCTCGCCCGGGCCCGGTGCACGGCTTCGGAGAGCTCACGGGGACAAGACCAGGATGCAGACGGCGCACGCCTCATCCTGGGTGGTGTGTGTGTGCAAATGGAGACGCGTGCCTTTGTGTGCGTCTGAGTCCCCGAGTTGTCCGCAGTAGCCAGCTGCTCTGGGTGGTGGCACAGCTCGCCAGCACCTTGTCACCCGTTTTGATGGTGAAATGTCAGACCTTGGCAAGGAGGAGAGAGAGCTTAGCAGAGCGCTCTTTCCTAGTGCTCATGTGCAGTCACGGCAGAACACGAGAGGGACTGGGGCAGGGGCCGGGGGGCGAGGGGGCTCTCCTGGCCAGGGGCTGGAAGCTTGGGGAAGAGAGGGTCCTGCAGCAGCTCACCTGTCCCACCCCCTCGACCCCACCGGCCTAGGCGTGTGCATTTCAGAGTAGCCAGAATTTTCGGAGCAGACCCGTTTTACTAACCAGAAAGATGAGAGAGTCCTCAGGCCAAGTTGGCATGTCTGCCAGTGCTCTCCTGAACCGAAGGCCCTTGGCCCCCAGGATGAAGCCTGCCATGACAGATGCCGTCCCTTGTGCCCGGTGCCTCGGCTCTAACGTGGCTTTGTCTCCTGGCAGGACATTGATGGGCAGGCACTGCTGTTGCTGACTCTCCCCACGGTGCAGGAGTGCATGGAGCTGAAGCTGGGGCCCGCCATCAAGCTGTGCCATCAGATCGAGCGAGTTAAAGTGGCTTTCTACGCCCAGTACGCCAACTGATGCTGCCCTCTTGGGAGCTGACCCAGCGTCGTGGTGATGCGGCGTCGTGGGAAGGTTTGGGGACCGACGCTTTATTTCTTGGGTGATAAGAGCTGGTACATACAACTGAGTAGCAGCGAAAAGCAAGAAGCACGGACCTCCTTCACCCTCCAGCCTGCGTGACAGTACCCCGTTTTCAAGGACATCCAGTGCCACGGTGGTGGCTCCTGGAGTGGTGGGCGCTGCGGGAAATGGAAGAGCGTCTCTGTACGTCCACGTCTCGCCTTTCTCCCTCCGGAAACCAGGCAGCTCCCTGTGAAGGGCTTTCCTCAGACACGGCCCACTTTGCTTTGAAAGCGAAGGCCCAGTTGATGTCTTTTCTGAATGTGCCCAGGGAGGACACGGGCTGGTGGTTTTGCTCTGGTCGTTCCAGACCCTTCTTCCGTGACAACGCCCATGGGGCCGTGGCTGCATGGCTCTCAGTTTGATCTTGGTGGCAGCTTAGTTCTCAGACACACTTGTTGCAGGATGCGGTTATAAAAGGGTGGGCTAGACCCGCATCACCTGTCACAGGTGCCTTTTAGGAAGTGGGGGGGCGTGAAGGCAGGCGGCATGTTGCAAGGAGACCGTTCTTCCCGAGTGACAGACATCCAGAGCCTGTGGAGAGTTCCGTTCGCAGTCTTTTATAGAACTTCACATATTGCTCACTTTCTCATTTAATTGTGACCAGATCAGGGAGTGATTCCTTTAGTCTGTTGGGAAATGCTGAGCTGTGTATTGAAGGAAAAGTTTAATGTCAGAGATGAGTGGGAAGAAGCTTCGGGAAGCTTTTAATAAACCAGCTGTGTCCCCGTAGAAGGATCCTGCAGTGAGTCTGTCAGTGAGACTGGCTTTGAGTGCCACTCGGATCAGCCCGGCCCTGGAACGTCCGACGGGAAGCAGGGCAGCCACCTGGCTCAGCCCTGCTCTTCTGCTGGCCCGGCTGACGGCTCCCTGTGGTCCTGGATGACCACATCACTCTGGAGCCTCTCGTCCGCCTCCTGCTAAGGGAAGAGCCTCGATCTGCCAACCTGAGACATTGTAGGTGAGAAAGAATCACATCAGCACAGTGTTTACTGTTTCCGGCAGCCCACTCTGGCTTGGAAGGTGCCGATGACATTTCTTGGGCAGTTTTCATTAAATCGGTGAAGTCACTTGTAGAGAGATCTGGGACTCTTGAGCATTGGCTGGGTTTTTGTTTGTGTTTTTTTTTTTTTTTGTACCAAGCACTTCATCTGCGTATGCCTGTGAGGGACCCAGTGTGCTCACTCCAACCTGAATGGACGGCCCTCCTCCGTTGGGAGGCGTCCAGATGCCTTTCGACACACGTGCAAGGAAACCAGACCTTGAGAGTGTCTGGACGTGGACGTGGAGAGGAGCACGGCCTTCTGCTGCCCTTGTGCTATAATTACCTTGGTCTTTTCTCCTTAATCGGTCTCCACTGCTGGCGGGACATCACGGGGTGGGCTGCTGAGCTGTCCTGTTCCTGCACACGTCGTAAAGCAAGATTACCTGTCGGATTTTGCCAAGTTTGATGACTAACGCCAACCTTTATTCACAGTCTGTCCCTGTTAACAGATGCAAATGGAAAACCGATTTTGCCAGGTGAGTTTTTCCTCCCCGCCCTAGCTGATTGCTCCCACCACGTTTGAGATGTTCGGCAAGTGGGTTTGCCTGGGGGCCTGTGCCGGAAGGACCAGCGTCCTACACCGGAAGCTCCCGTGGTGACTCGTGCGTGGCTTGCCGTTGGGGCTCCTGTGTCCCACGCCGAGGGGTCCGCCACCTCCTGGGTTTCCGCTCCCTGCCTTCTCAGCCACATACTTTCAGCCTTACACGCTCAGCCTGTGGAGTCGACTGGAAAGGGTATCCATTTCAAGATCTTCGGCATTTTCCCCGCGCTGACCACTTGTGACCCTTCACTGTGGCCTTTTCAAGCTGAGCTATTCCTGTCACATCTGAAACTGGAGCGAGGGGGTGTCGAGGCTGCAACGTAACGTTGCACTTTCAGAACGGATGTCCCCTTCTCGTGCCCTTTCAAGGAAAGGCGCGGGGGAGGAGGTGCTGCATGGGATGAGGCAGATCTTGCAGGCGTCCCTGGAGCTGGAAGGCCTCCCCTTGGCAGCCCGGGCAAGACACGGCCACCGTTGCTGGGGAAGCTTCCTGCTTCCGTGTGCCCGACACCTCCTTGTCCTCAGTCCCTCTCTGTGCGGTGATCTGCCACTTCACCCACGTCCACGTAATGGTGGGTGGGCAGCAAGACGTGGCCGGGGCCAGAGGCAGAAGGCCCGGCTCCGGGGTAACCATCACGAAGGGTCCTGTATGTGTCCCCTCCTGGCCCTCCAAGAGCCAAGAAACCTTTTAGGGCCAAGAAGATGCTTTTGCCGTGAGTGTCACCACCGTCCTCCTGAACTTGGATTCTTTGGGGGATTTCCACTGGTCGGTGTACTTCCCGTTGGTAGCAAGTTGGCAACGGAAGGGTGAGGTGGTGTTCGTTCCTCTGTAGGATTCACCTCACGTCAGCTTCTGTCTTATCAGTAGGGCCAATTTCCAAGGCACATTTTACCATCTTGTTACTGTGTCTCTTAAGGCAGGAAATGCTGATTTTACACCTCTACCCACCACCCCCCCCCCGCAGTACCACCACAGCACCAGCCGAACGTTTCTTGGTTGAAATGCCAGCAAGTGACGCCTCTCCCCCGCTTCTCTGTCCCCAGACACTTCAGTCTCTGCTCTGTCTCTAGGATAATACTTCGGGACCAGAGTCCTGTCCTCTGTGTAGCCGGGTCCTGCATACACCATGCCGCTCTTTACCTCCCGTAGCTGGTCGAGAAGCGTGTCTTCCTCTCCTGCCCAAGCGGACACTTGGCATTCTGTACAATGTGTATAACTTGAGAAGCAGAAATGCTACCTTGTCTTTAATGGTGACAGTCATCACGCAATCCCATCCAGAAACTAAGGGAGCTGGTTTGGCCCCTGCCCTCTTGACTGCATCTGTACTGTGTTGGGAAACTATCCTACCCACAACACTATAAACCTAAAAAGAGCCGGTATGGCTGGCATTGCAAATGAACTTCTTTGCATTTCCAAAACAAAAAACAACCAAAAAAGGAAAATGGAAACCAGTTTCGTTCAAGTTGCATCATCCAGAGAACTCATCCATCGCTTTTTAAAATTAGGTTCATTTGATCAAAGTTTGACTCACACACAGTGTTTGGGCTGTGCAGCGATTAGGTTGCTTTCCCTTATTTGATCATATTTGAAAGAGTATTTCCTGTGTTTGCTTTGATTGGTTCCTCAGTACATTAAAATGACTCAAACCTTTGACCCTGCCCCCTCTGACCCTCGCTATAATCTCTGGAAAGTTGGTTTGGATCAGTCTTTGAAGCTTGGTCTGAGTGTCCTGACTCGTCTCTTAGAATGCTGAGTGTTGTATCAAGCAAGTTCTGAGATTTGCCTTTTATCTTAGACCAGACACCTCTCTAGGAGCCGTTCTCCCTTCGTTTTGCAAGCACTAGGGATTTTTGTAACTTCTTACGTAGAACACCCATTTATGTTTATTTCTGTATATAGAACTATAAAAATTGTATCGTTAAAATCTTTGTCGTGGTTTGAGCACCATTGTTGCTTTTTGGTTAAGGTGGTGAATCTAGGATCCAAGTATTCGATTCTGTCTTTAGAAAGCTGTGATCGCGTGTGCAATTATTTCTGAAGGAAAAGATAGTAAATTTAGGTCTCTGTAGTTTTTAAGGAAGCAATCGTTGAAGAGATATACATACACTGCCCGTTGTGTTTTGGTGCAATAACGAATAGCAAGGAGAAGCTCTGTCTTCAACTATGACAATGTAATGATTCTCTTACTCGTTTCCTGTTCTTTTCTGTTCAAGAGTTTTCTGGAAATGGCTTTCGTCCCTTTAACTTGGTTGAATATTTCAGTTGGTTCTCATAGCTTTCATCACTAGAGTTGGTTTACAAGTATCCCAAAACACGAATGTGATAAAATCGAATTGTGCTAGTTTTGACCCCCTGAATTTACCTAAAAATTGTAATTGCTGACACATGATGCTGCTTTGGGTTTTGGTTAAAAGCATCTCTAGTTCAGTTGGTAAGAACTAACCCGAACAATTTCCTCAGCGGTGGTCTTTCCATCTTCCTGGTTGGTTTTAAGTGCTGAGGATTCCGTACCAGCGAGCATGTCAGTCTTAGGCAACCAAGCCAGAGTGGTGCTCCCGTGGGCCTGGCGGATACCCTGAAGAAAAAATAAAGTTCTGGGACCAGGGTTTGCTGAAAATCAGCTTATGATGGGAAATTGGAGATAATTTTTTTTTTAAATGACAGAAGAAAGAAATCATCTCATTTTTGTTCACGATGGGACCTAGCATGATGTCCAGAAGCATAAACTATCCCTAGTCGTGAATGTCAGAAGCCCTTTTACTGTTTTGCATTCCAGTTTGAGTACTTTGTATTGAAATCTGATTCATATCTTGTGTACGTTGCAGTGTGTAAAAGGAAAAATTCGTGTTTTTACTTTTGGAATTTGCAGGACAAAGGGCATGTTGTTGGTTTGCTGGAAGATTGTATTCTGTATATATGTTTTCATGTAAATAAATGAAAATCTATATCAGAGTTATATTTTAATTTTTATTCTAAATGAAAAGAAACCCTTTTTACTTGAAAAAATTGTAAGCCACATTGTTAATAAAGTAAAATGAGTTCTATGGTGGTGTGTGTCTTTCTATGTAAGGTCACTAAGTATTATCTTTAGGGTTTGCGTTTTGTTCCATTTGTCTTTTCCTGCTATGCACTAAAACGTGTGTCTGTAGGGTTTTAATAACCATGGTTCTGAAAGTCCCATGCGATCTTTCAGAGTTACCCGGTAGCTTTGGCACTTTTTATTCAAGGCACTTGTGTTTATTCTTTTTATTGGAACATTACAGTGTATTGTACAGAATCGCCTCTAGGCTTTCCCGTGGTCAGAGACGGGG